TATTAAACATAGTCTAGGTGCAGGGAGGACAATTGGGTAGTGTTGCTGGCCACAGGTGCCGACTAGAGAACCCCTCTCAATTCAAATTAGCTGTCTTCACTAGACCCACTAATTCGAACTCTGGAAGATTGACAGGTCAGCTTTGATCTTCTCTGTAGTGTAGACATACCCCAAGGGACTGGATATTAAACATGCATGCAGGGTATGCTCTGGTAGGCGTCTACCATCATTTGAACATTGTTTTTGGCCCCATACCTTGGGGCAGCAAGTAAGAACATAAGAAGGGACAGACTGGGTCAGACCAATGGTCCATCCAACCCAGTGTCCTGTCTGCCAACAGTGGCCAATACCAGAGGCCCCAGAGGGAGGGAACACAACAGGTAATCCTCACCTGATCTCTTCCCTGTTACCCATTTCCAGACAAACAGGCTAGGGACACCATTCCTACCCATCCTGGCTAACAGCCACTTATAGATCAAAACTCCTTGAATCTATCTAGCTCTTTTTTTAATCCTCTTAAAGTCCTGGTCTTCACAAAAGCCTCTGGCAAGGAGTTCCACAGGTTGACTGTGTGCTGAATGAAGAAAAACTTCCTTTTTTTAAAACCTGCTGCCTGTTACTTTCATTTGATTCTTATATTGTGGGAATAAGTAAATAACTTTTTCTTATTCACCTTTTCCATACCAGTCATGATTTTATAGACGTCTATCATGTCCCCCCCTTAGTCTCCTCTTTTCTAAGCTGAAAAGTCCCAGTCTTTTTAATTCCTCTTCATAAGCAGTGCAGATGGCAGCACATTACACACAGAAAAGAAAAACTATCACCAAGTGCAAAGCTGAACAGTCTACAAGACATTGTTTGCCCTCTGAGCCCTTGGTATCAGCAAATCGTTTCTTCACTCCTGGGGGAGGCTCTCCAGCTGAAGTTCTCCAGGGACTATTTTCAGATGTTCCCTCTCCTCATGGAGCTGAGGTAATTTTCCAGGAGTCCTGTCCAACACAAGACTCCACAGAGACTATATAAAGGTTGCTGTCTAGCACAGTGAGTGTCTCAGATATGTGAGATACATACACTGATTCTCAGGGCTCTGCTTTCCTTTCACAGTAAAGAGATTTCAACTGTCTACAGAGCAGCATTTTGGTGAGTTGCCATTTTTTGTATAACAGTTAGTGCTAAGCACTGAAGAAAAATTTCAGGTTCCATGTCAAAATCCATCCGGGCAGGATTTCACCAGGGCAGTGAACTGAACTGTTTAGTATTATCAGAAAAACTAAGGGATTTACCTGAGAAACCAGATCAGAAGAAGCGGGTTTTGCTCATGATGCTCTATAGTTTTTTGTCGGTCTCTAAGTTTCCACAGAACTACTCGTTGTTTTGGAACTAAGTATGTAGCGTTTGAAATCATTTAGATAACGATTTGTTTTTAAAATCAGTTCCTTGTATCTTATGTCCTTCTCTGTGTCTCCGTTGCTTCCTTTTGCGGGGGGCCGTGCGGTTTGTCTGCTGGTTTGTTCAAGTTTTCCAAATCAGCAACTTCCCTGCACTGTTAGTTAATATAGACAAGGTCTCTGCAGTTTGCTACCAGAGGGTTCAGAACAAAATGGGTCACCCACTGGCCAGAAAGCCACAGACTAGGGGTTTCCTGCAGACTCTTTGAGCCCCCTCTGATCTGGGTACTGACACTCATTTTCACAGTTCAGATCCAAAAGTAAAACATTAAGGAGTAAGACCTTGGCCGCATTGAGATCACGTTCAATCCACTGGTCGGCGCTTTTAAAAAAAAAAAGGCTTGATTTACACCAAACATGAAACTCCGGTGACGTCAACAGGGCTTGGCCTCTGGTTTCTAAGGGGCGAGCTCGTTAAGACCAAAGAAAGACAGAAGAGTTTTTATAGCCATTCTCTCTCTCATTTATATAGATCTTCCACATAGATAGGCTTGTTTCTGAATTATTAACCTTTCTTTCTGGAAATATACAAGATCTTAGATGGAATATTTCCTAAAATTTGAATTTGGGGTTTTGAAGATTCATGTCCCACAGGAGTAAGAGGAAGAGAAGGCACAATTGTGCAGCAGTAGCCTTAAATCCTTCTAAAAAGTTTTTAATAGGAAAATGTTTTAAAAGGTAAAGTGTGATTCTAAATCAACTGAAAATTGACAGGGAGTCTCTGGAGACCGACACGTAGAGTGTCAAATTTTGGCATGAATAACAGTTCAGAGCATTCCCTTTCAAGTGCAGATTTAAAAGGCTTCTGGAGCAGGATGCAGGTAATTAAGTCGTTGAGACAGTGTCCTTTCTGGTTGAAATGGCAAGAAACTGTTTTTTCTTTGTGATCCTGTCTAATATCTGTTTTGTGGGCATTGATCCTTTGGTGAAGTGTCTGAGACGTTTGTCCAATGTACAAAGCAGATGGACACTTTCGGCACATGATAGCATAGATTATATTTCTGGAGGCACAGGAATATGTGTTCTTGATCTTATAACTCACTTGGTTAGGCCCAATAATGGTATCAGCAGAGTGAATATGTGGACAAAGCTGGCAACAGGGTTTGTTGCAAGGGAAGGTACCAGGGTTGGTATTAGTGTGGTATGTCCTGTAGTTGTTGGTAAGAATCATCTTGAGGTTCCATGGTTGTCTATAGGAGACTATGGGTCTGTTTCCCAGAGCCTCTTGGTGTTTGGTATTCTGTTCTAGTATAGGCTGTAGTTTATTGATAATGTGTTGGACAGGTTTAAGTTGGGGGCTGTAGGTGATGACAACTGGTGTTCTATTGTTGGTTTTCTTGGGTCTGTCTTGAAGTAGATGGTTTCTAGGTATTCGTTTGGCTCTTTCAAATTGCTTTTTTATTTCTCCGGGTGGGTAGTTGAGGTTTATAAATGCTTGGTAGAGATCCTGAAGTTTCTGGTCTCTGTCAGTGGGATTAGAGCAGATGCGGTTGTATCGAAGGGTTGTATCGAAGAGTTACAGACATCACAAACTCATAGGCTTAGAAATGAAAGTGATTAGGAGAACCATTTTTTTTCAGGGAGGGAGAGGGGTTTGTTCTTTCCATGCCCCTGCATCTCTGGACCTGGAGACCATGAGATGTACCAAAATTCAGTCAAAATAAAAGCCTGTTTCTCGCTGAAAGAAAACCAGGTGGTGCTGGAAATCTCACCAGAGCAGCTCCAGGAACACACTGTATGAAGGAAGACTGAAAGAATTGGGCTTGTTTAGTTTAGAAAAGAGAAGACTGAGAGGGGACATGATACAAGTTTCAAGTAACTAAAAGGGTGTCACAAGGAGGAGGGAGAAAAATTGTTCTCCTGGACCTCTGAGGATAGGTCAAGCAATGGGCTTAAATTGGAGGTTTAGGTTGGACATTAGGAAAAACTTCCTGCCTGTCAGGATGGTTAAACACTGAACACATGGATAGCAATGAGGGTTACAGGACAGGGAGTACACAGCCTGAGGGGTGTTGCTAGGGGTCGGGGAGGCTGAGAGGATGGTGTACAAACAGGCAGGCAGTGCTTAGGATTGTGGGGCAGTCAGAGGGACAGGCGAGCCGTGCTGGGGTCAGTCAGGGTAGCGAGTGGGGTGTACACACATGGGCAGCACTGCTGAAATTGGTTTTGTTGGGTAATTGTTTGTCTAAGGCCAGCGCTGGGACCTTTCCCGGCTTGATTAAAGGTCTAGAGAACATGAGCTATGAGGGGAGGCTGAAAGAATTGGGCTTGTTTAATTTAGACTGAAAGGGGACATGATAACAGTTTTCAAGTATCTAAAAGGGTGTCACAAGGAGGAGGGAGAAAAATTGTTCTCCTGGACCTCTGAGGATAGGTCAAGCAATGGGCTTAAATTGGAGGTTTAGGTTGGACATTAGGAAAAACTTCCTGCCTGTCAGGATGGTTAAACACTGAACACATGGATAGCAATGAGGGTTACAGGACAGGGAGTACACAGCCTGAGGGGTGTTGCTAGGGGTCGGGGAGGCTGAGAGGATGGTGTACAAACAGGCAGGCAGTGCTTAGGGTTGTGGGGCAGTCAGAGGGACAGGCGAGCCGTGCTGGGGTCAGTCAGGGTAGCGAGTGGGGTGTACACACATGGGCAGCACTGCTGAAATTGGTTTTGTTGGGTAATTGTTTGTCTAAGGCCAGCGCTGGGACCTTTCCCGGCTCTGAATGCATTTGGATGGGTCTCAGGGTCTCTTCACCCTGCAAGCCTGGCTGAAGAACTGTAGCCTGGCTGTTTCCAATTATTGTTGCTGAATGTTGATGACGTAATTTCAGACATGGCAGTGGAGGAAAGGATGACTGATCTTTGCTCTCCCACTGCTTCAATCTTCCACAAGCTAAATATGAGGCAATAGCGTGCCACTGTTGCAAAAAAAAAAAGCAAACATGTTTCCGGGAGGCATTAACAGGCGTGTTGTGAGCAAGACACGAGAAGTCATTCTTCCGCTCTACTCTATACTGATGAGGCCTCGATTGGAGTGTCCAGTTCTGGGCACCACATTTCAAGAAAGATGTGCAGAGACTGGAGAAGGTCCAGAGAAGAGCAACAAGAATGATTAAAGGTCTAGAGAACATGAGCTATTACGGAAGACTGAAGAATTGAGCCTGTTTAGTTTGGAAAAGGGAAGATGAAGAGGGGACATAAGAGCAGTTCTCAAGTATCTAAAAGGGTGTCACGAGGAGGAGGGAGAATTTTTTTTCTTCTTGACTTCTCAGGATAGAATAAGAAGCAATGGTAGGTTTAGGCCAGACATTAGGAAAAACTTCCTAACTGTCAGGGTGGTTGAACACTGGAATACATTTCCTACGGAGGTTGTGGAATCTCCATCATTAGATGTTTATCTAACCTGCTCTTAAATATCTCTCTCAGGGATGATTTGGATGGTGCTTGGTCCTGCCGTAAGGGCAGGGACTGGACTTGATGACCTTTCAAGGTCCCTTCCAGTTCCAGTGTTCCATGATTCTGATTCTCTGTCCCTTTGTCCATACTCTCCTCTAACCCAGGCTTCCCTGATTCCAAGAGCACGGTGGTCACCAGCATCTTCTCCACGCTCTCCACCCATCCCTGGCTTTCACAACCTCCAAACCACCGACCACTCTGCACAGCTTTCCTCTGAAGGGGTGAGTTGCCTCCCCATCACAAGTGTTCCCTTGGCTGATGGGAGAAAACTGACTGTCTCACCAGGGAGAAATGCCAAGGTAGGTGTCCGAGTGTCTTCTCTGCACCCATTCACACCATGCATGACTACGGAGACTGCTACACAGGGTCAATGAACAAGTCGAGACATTTGTACATTCTACAGCGAGAGCAAGCAACTATACAATAGTAATAAGCCTTGATAAATACAACCGTCATATGCACAATCTTCTGGTAGTTTTGGGTATGTCTAGACTACATGACTCCGTTGACGGAGCCATGTAGATGAGGTTTCTAGACATAGGGAAATGAAGCAGTGATTTAAATAATCGCCACTTCATTAACATCAAAATGGCTGCCGCGCTATGCCAATAAGCTGTTTGGCAGCACAACGGTGCAGTCTGGACGCTCCACGGTTGACAGGGGAAGTCCTTGTCGACTGCCCCGTTATGCCTCGTGGAATGCGATTTACGGGGGTGGTCGAGAAGGGCTTCCCTTATTGACCGCGGAGTGTCCAAATTACTGCGCTGTGCCGCCAAACAGCCGATCGGCACCGCACAGCAGTCATTTTGATGTTAATGAAGTGGTGATTCCTACGACGGAGCCATGTAGTCTAGACATGCCCTACCTGAAACAGTGGGCCAGTGTGAGAGAGATGATAACCCATTGTGGTCTTTGACCATTTGTTAGCTAGCTCTGTTAGTCATATATGGGAAGGTTGTATGATTTGATAGGATGACATAATTGTTTCTCATATAAATAGTCAGCCAGTGTTTCTAAGGATCCCTTAGCCTTGTGAAATGCAGACCTACTGTAACTTTGTCAAGGCGCCAGTCACGTACGAACTCCCCAGGAGATTCTGCCACAGTCATGAATAGAAAACGGACCTTAAGAAGGCTGACTCATGAACTTGCAGGGACAATGCCCCCTGGTCACACCTTCCCAGATTCATAGGCCAGAAGGAATTATCACCTCTATTGATTTTCTGTAAAGGACAGGCTGGAGAATTTCCTCAAAATTACTCCTTGAGCAGATCATCTAGGGAAATATCCAAACCTTTGTTTAAAATTTCTCAGTGAAAGAAAATCCATGATGGCCCTTGATAAACTGGTTCAATGCTTACTCTCACCCTTTAAAAAAATCTATACAGTTTATTTCCGGTCAGAATTCCTTTAACTTAAACTTCCAGCCATTCCATCCTCTTATACCTCTGTTTGCCACGCTGAAGAACCTGTTATTCAATAGTGGTACCCCATGTAATATTGACAGGGGACTGTAATGCCACCCATACACCATCCTTGTTGAGCACATTTAATCTACCACACAGGAATGGTCACTTAGGGAGGTGGTGAAATCTCTATCCTCAGAGGTTTTTAAGACCTGGCTTGACAAAGCTCTGGCTAGGATGGTTTAGTTGAGGTTGGTCCTGCTTTGGGCAGGGGGTTGGACTCGATGACCTCCTGAGGTCTCTTCCAGCCCTAGGATTCTATGATGTTATAATTAGAATAGGGCAGGTTTTAGGACCTTTGACTGATTCTTGTGACTCTTCTCTCAACTCTTGTGGGAGAAAAATCAAATAACTCCAATTGTGTCTAAAGGGGGGACTGTGCAGGAAATCAAAACTCTCTACAAGAAAACTGCTGTAAGGGTTAAAAGTTTTCCAGGCCTCTCTCCTTGTAACAGAGAGAAATCAAATTAACTCTAATCAAGACCCTTACAATGCCTATCTCAAGTTCATGAAGACTCCTAGTCTGTCACAATTTGTCATGTAAACTCTCTCATGTGCCTTTGTTCTGTAAAACTTACTTCTAGCACTCCTGGTGTGAACAGAAACATCTCAGAGTACTTCTGCTTTATACAGTATGTTCAACTACTGTCTGCTTTATACAGTATGTTCAACTACTGTCTGAACATACTGTATAAAGAATCCCTGAAACTGTCTCTCAGGGCTGGCTGCTAACTCTGGTAGTGGTCAGCCTGCATGCATGCATAATAAAGTTTTCCTTCTAGGTTTCTCTCCGCCTCACTGCTTTGAACTCCAGCCTCGGACCCTTCTGGGGGCTCTGTACCCCAGGGGAGCGAGATTTCCCCCACAATTTCCATAGTGTATAAATATCCAAATTTAAGCATGGACACCAGAACTGGACACAGGATTCCAGCAGCTGTCGCACCAGTGCCAAATACAGAGGTAACGTAACTTCTCAACCACTGGAACCTCAAGGGGATCATCCCAGGAGCACATTGACTGTTTTGACCAAGGGTTCCCACTGGGAGCTCATATATAGCTAATTTATGTCGCTGTTCAGAGTCACTGCACTTCCCATGAGCATCTCCCACCTTGCAAGTAGCACCTACACTCTTTGTTCCTGGATGTAGATATATGTTAAAACACATAGGCTATGTCTACACTGCAGTCTTCTTGCACAAGAACAGCTGTTCTTGAGCAAAAACTTGTGGCGCGTCCACATGAGAAGCCCGTTCTTGCGCAAAAAGGCTAGTGTGGACAGGAACAGGGGTTTCTTGCGCAAGAAAGCCCTATGGCTAAAATGGCCATCAGAGCTTTCTTGCACAAGAGAGCATCCACATTGCCCTGGACACTTATGTGCAAAAGCGCATGGCAGTGTGAACATGTAACCTGGAGTGGGCTAGACTTCATTGTCCTTCTCCAGTGTCTAAAGAAACCCCCACTTCCACTGCAGTATTGGAGACCCAGGCTGTGTCTAGACTGGCCACTTTTTTCAGAAAATCAGCCGCTTTTCCGGAAAAACTTGCCAGCTGTCTACACTGGCCTCTTGAATGTCCACAAAAGCACTGACTTCCTACTGTAAGAAATCAGTGCTTCTTGTGGAAATACTATTCTGCTCCCGTTCAGGCAAAAGTCCCTTTTGCGCAAAGCTTTTGCGCAAAAGGCCAGTGTAGACAGCTCAGATTTGTTTTCCGCAAAAAAGCCCTGATCTCAAAAATGGCAACCGGGGCTTTTTTGCGGAAAAGCACGTCTAGATAGTGTAGACATAGCCATATTGTTTCCATTTGGTCAACCAGTCCAGACTGCTCCAAATCAATCATCTGTCCTCTTTATTATTTACGATCCCACAATTTTTGATTCATTGGCAAACTTGAGGCACAAGATGGATAAAACCTAGGGGAGACAAGTGTACCTGCTTGTGGTTGTCATTCAAAACCTATAACTTATATCTCAGGCAATGATAGATTCCAGCAAGAAAGCGTGTTACCAGCAGAAATAAGAGAAGTAAAAGGTGAAAGCCAGAAGCCCTAAACACAAAGACCCTTGTGCCCATACTACCCGTCCTGTACAGCAAAACGACACAGCCTGGCAGGATAATGTCTCCTTCCATGTGGGGGAAACATGGCTCTTTTACAATATAGGAATTTCATCTTGGATCAGACCTATGATCCAGCTAGTCCAGCGTCCTCTCTCTGATACAGGTAGCCTTGTGTGTAAATATTGTAACTAGATAGACTCAATAGCCATGTAAATATCCAAAGCCTTCCTGATCCTTGCTTAGCTCTTGGCCTCAACTAATTCTTGTGGCAATGGCAACAGGTTTTTTTTTTCTGATTTATAATTGCTACATTTCAATTCAAGTGAATGTCACCCTGACCTTATGGGCCAGGGAGAATAGATTCTCATTCAACTCTCTATCCACTGGTATTTTGTACACATTCTCTTAGGCTCCCACTTATTAATCTCCTTAGTAAGCCAACAACCCCTTCCTTTTAACCTCATCCCCATTAGAGAGTTTCTGCCCTTGATCTAGTTCTGCAGTATCTTGTGCGAGGAGGATTGCTCAGCAATGCAGAGAGAAGTCGACACTAGAGTAAAACATTGACGGACTGATCTCATGCCATCATCCTTTCTACAGGATTCCCCAGGCTACTCCTCCTGGATAACAATAGTTTGCAAATATTCTGGCTCTGCTCACACCGAGAGCTGTTTCCCAGAGCTGTGTATGTACCAGGATATCCCGGTCTCTGTCCTGAGTTCCTACAGTTCAATTAGAACTTTTTTAGGCATGCAAGGAATTCAAGCTTTTCCGTATAATGAGCATACATGTTGCCGTTATGGGCACGTCACGTGCTACCATGCAACCCATTCACCATAGTGTCTAGCTCGTTACAAGGACTTCTCTGCACCTCGCTATGACCTAAATAATCCAGTGGCATCTGCACATGTTGCCACTTCATTCTTGACCCTCCTTTCTACATTAGTAAGGAGCAAAAAATATTGACCATCCAGATCAGCGGCACAGCCATGGGTACACGCATGGCCCCACAGTATGCTAACATCTTTATGGCTGACCTAGAACAACGTTTCCTCAACTCCCGTCCCCTTTCACCCCTCCTCTACCTACGGTACATCGATGACATCTTTATGATCTGGACACATGGCCAAGAAACACTGGAGATATTCCACAGAGATTTCAACAACCTACACCCCACCATCAACCTCAGCCTGGACCATTCTACACGAGAGATCCACTTCCTGGACACCACCGTACAAATCAACAATGGAAAATTAGACACCACTCTCTACAGAAAACCCACTGACTCATACAGTTACCTACATGCATCCAGCTCCCATCCAGAACACACCACACGATCCATCGTCTATAGCCAAGCCCTTCGATACAACCGCATCTGCTCTAACCCCACTGACAGAGACCAGAAGCTTCAGGATCTCTACCAAGCATTTATAAATCTCAACTACCCACCCAGAGAAACAAAAAAGCAAATTGAAAGAGCCAGACGAATACCTAGAAACCATCTACTTCAAGACAGACCCAAGAAAACCAACAATAGAACACCACTTGTCATCACCTACAACCCCCAACTTAAACCTGTCCAACACATTATCAATAAACTACAGCCTATATTGGAACAGGATACCATACTCAAAGAGGCTCTGGGAGACAGACCCATAGTCTCCTATAGACAACCACCTAACCTCAAGATGATTCTTACCAACCACCACAGGACATACCACACTAATACCAACCCTGGTACCTTCCCTTGCAACAAACCCCGTTGCCAGCTTTGTCCACATATTCATTCTGCTGATACCATTATTGGACCTAACCAAGTGAGTTATAAGATCAAGAACACATATTCCTGCGCATCCAGAAATATAATCTACGCTATCATGTGCCGAAAGTGTCCGTCTGCTATGTACATTGGACAAACATCTCAGACACTTCGCCAAAGGATTAATGCCCACAAAACAGATATCAGACAAGATCACAAAGAGAAAACAGTTTCTTGCCACTTTAACCAGAAAGGACACTCTCTAAATGACTTAGCCACCTGCATTCTGCTACAAAGACCTTTTACATCTGCACTTGAAAGGGAATCCTCTGAACTGTCATTCATGTTAAAATTCGACACTTACCACCAGGGACTTAACAAGTCTTTGAACTTTCTCACCCATTATCAAGACAGTTTCCCCAATTATCACCTGTAATACCATTAACTCACAAACATCCCACTCTCCCTACCTCTAATATCATCAATTCACAGACACTTACCTTCCTTCCTCCCCCTTCCCACCCCCCCGCCTCCTCCTTCTGTTCTGCAATGTGATTTGTCCTTTTCATATTTGTTCTTTTTTTTAATTGTATCCTTTGGTATATATGGTTGTGACTACTTTCTTCCACTATTTGATCTGAGGAAGTGGGTCTGGCCCACGAAAGCTCATCATCTAATAAACCATCTTGTTAGTCTTTAAAGTGCTACATTGTCCTGCATTTTGCTTCAACTACCCCAGACTAACACGGCTACATTTCTATGACCATACTACGTGCTTCTTTTCCTTCACAGACACCTTGAGCATTTCGGCACCCAATCGAGGAATCAACCATCTCATGGTGGCTTTCAACAGCACCCTCTCTGACTCTCCAACATTCATCCTAATGGGCATCCCTGGCTTAGAAGCTGCCCACGTCTGGATTGCCATCCCGTTTGCTCTGTTCTACATTGTCGGCCTGTTGGGGAATTTCATGATTCTGTTTGTGGTAGGCAAAGAGCAGACCCTGCACACGCCAATGTACTTGTTGATCTGCATGTTGGCGCTCACAGACATCAGCATGTCTACCTGCGTTGTGCCAAAGGTGCTGGGTATATTTTGGTTCAATTTAACAGTCATTACTGTGGAAGGCTGCCTCACTCAGACATTCTTCCTTCACATGCTTTCTGTTTTCTATTCATCCATCCTTGTGACAATGGCCTTTGATCGCTATGTTGCCATATGTATGCCTCTGAGATACGCCGCCATCCTCACCAACGCCCGAATAGCTAAGCTAGGGCTAGTAGGCTTGATAAGAGCTGTTCTCTTCATGTTTCCCCTGCCTCTACTCCTGAGCAAGCTGCCATTCTGTACCAGTCGCAGTATCCCCCACACGTACTGCGAGCATATGGCTGTGGCAAAGATGTCATGTGGGGACACTACAGTCAACAGGATGTACGGCTTGGCAATGGCTTTTGTAGTCATGGGGTTAGACTTGACGCTTATTAGCCTGTCCTACTGTCTGATCCTCAGGGCTATCCTCACTATCTCTTCCAAGAAAGCCCACCGGAAAGCCCTCAGCACCTGCACCACCCATGTCTGTGTAATGTTGACGTCTTATACTCCCTTCCTCTTCTCCAGTCTCACCCACCGGTTCGGTCAGGGCATCGTTCCCCATATTCACATCATCTTGGCCAACCTCTATTTCGTGTTCCCCCCAATGCTCAACCCCATCATATATGGGGTGAAAACCAAAGAGCTTCGTGACAAAGTGGGCAAGTACATCTGGAGAATGTGATTGCTGGGGGTGCCACCGATTTTGAATCTGCATTACAAGAAGGGGAAAAGATAGCCCCTTGTTGACCCAGGGTGCTCTGTCCTAGTTTGGATGAGCTCAGCATTGTGGCAATTCAAAGTTTGGGAAGATCCTCACACTTAACATCTCATCACTCCGTCTACTAAGCCCTGATCTCTCCATTGCTCTCTCTTTCTCAGGGTATGTCTACACTTGCCCCCTACTTGGAAGTAGGGAGGCAAATGAAGACCACCGAAGTTGCTAATGAAGCGCGGGATTTAAATATCCCGTGCTTCATTAGCATTTCCGCAACCAGTCGCCATTTTGAAATGCCGGTAGACAGATTTAACTTGCACGCAGCAGTTCGATCGGAAACCCTTCCCTCGATTTAACTGTTACTCCTCATTGTACGAGGAGTACCAGTTAAATCAAAGGAAGGGTTTCCAATCGAACTGCTGCGTCTACACACGGCAAGTTAAATCGGGCTACCAGCATTTAAAAATAGCGATTGGATGTTAATATGCAAATGAAACATGGGATATTTAAATCCCACGCTTCATTAGTAACTTTGGTATGCTTCATTTGCCTCCCTACTTCGAAGTAGGGGGCAAGTGTAGACATACCCTCAGACCATTACTTGACCTCTTTCAGTCTCACCTGTCAGCCCCGTGCTTTCACTTGGCCTTCCATGACTGGTAGGCCATCAGCACCCAGCACAGCTTTCTGAAAGACGACATATCAACAGGCTTCTTGATCAGCTTGAAGAACAGTCGCAACACTTTCAGATAGCAGAAGACAAATGCAGTGACAGTGTCATGTGTAAGAGATCTTGTGAGGGAATCTGACCTGATTTTTGTACATCCAGCCCTTGAAAGGGCCCTGAGGATCAAGCAAAAGTTAACTCCTCTTTAAGGGAGTGTTATTACAGCAACACTATTGTGGGAATGGGGACCCGATCTTATTAGTGAGAGTTGTGAATCAGTGTTTCTGAGAACCGGACTGGGTTACCCTAGATTGAGTGTTGTGTTCACCAGAATGTGACTATGCCAAATGCAAACAGATGATGTGCTCTCAGCCACTCTCAATTAGAGAAACAGAACACCATATAGTTAAGGGTTAATTAGCAAGCAGGCTTTGGGATGCAATGTCAGATTCTAGCTGACAGTTCTGTCAATCACAATGGGAGGAATGCACAGACAGGTAAAAAAAAAGGAAGAATGGCAGCAGGCATGTGCACATGAATGTTGACCCTAGATGACTCTGATACCAGACACATATTCAAAGTTAGGAAAAGGGATGTTCTAATGCGGGTCACTATGTCCTTTGCTCTGTACAAGGTATGAATCGTTAGCTAACGCAGGGTACTTTGAAGCAGTGCTCTGAAGCCACCTTGGAGAAACATTTTTCCTGCCACACTTTGTAGCTGGCGGGCGATCAGTTGCCCACTGCGAACCTGCTCTTAGTTACTCCAGCGCATTCCAGATGCAAGGTACGTATCTGGGATGTTGGAAACCGATTGTTTATGTCTGGGTGTACATAAAACTAATAAACTGCAGTCTCAGACTAGAGCAGGCTTGATTGCATTTAATCCATAATCAGAGAGCTGCTGTATTCCCATTGATTTATTCCTCACACTGTCTGGGGTGAAATCGTTACATTGACCCGTCTGGGGATTCTGAAAAAATATGAGTTACAGACTGCTGCATGAAACTGCAACGTTGCTTTGGAGTCCAGCAGCTTGCCATTTGCACAGTCGATTTTGCACTCACTTTCAGCTGGAACAGCCAAAATACACCATAACCATTCCCCTTATCAAAGGCATCAAAAGTAAGCTGTGAAGTGTATTAAACGGAAATGTCCACCAAAGCCCAGGTGATTAATTGACTGGCAGCACTAAGACCTTGATGACCTAAATTGCTATTCCATTATTGTTTTTAAAAAGTGTGATTAAAACTCCAGTTAATTACCATTCATTTTTAAATGGACTCAAAACAAATTAATCACTTGAAAGAATCATTAATTAACAGCACTAATTTGCAAGTCTATGAATATGAAGATTTAAGGGAATTCACTCTGGATAGACACTGGGGTAACAGATACATAAGGGTATATCTACACTGCACACTTATTTTGGAATAAGCTGCTCCCGAAGAAATACTCTAAATAGCTTATTTCGAAATAGCATGTCTACACTACAGGGAAGCTGTGAAATTAGTCTGAGGCAGGCTCCTCTAACGTGGATGTACTACCTCGATTTAGAGCCCCAGGAAGCACTGGGGAGGAACTATTTTGCAATAGTAGCAGTGAGCATCCACACTACTGCTATTCCAAATAGCTATTTCGGAAGGGGAATTATTCCTCATGGAATGAGGTTTACAGAAGTCGGAATGAGCCGCCCATTATTTCGAAGTAACACAGTTGCTATGTAGATACTCGCTTTGTTATTTCAGAACAACAGCCGTTATTCTAAAATAACACTGCTGTGTAGACACACTCGTGTCTAGACTACAGGGTTTTTTCGAAAAAACTGTACCTGTGTCTAGACTGCTGCTGCGTTCTGTCGACTGTAAATCGAAAGAACGCGGAGGTTTTGTCAACAGTGGTAAACCTCGTTTTATGAGGAATAACGCCTTTTTCGACAGCTCTGTTGAAAACAGGTGTGTGTGGAAAACCTTTTCCGTTAAAAGTATTTCTGGAAAATCATGCCAGTCTAGACGTAGCCAGGGTGTGTTTAGACAACAGGGTTTTGTCGACAAAAGTGGACTTTTGTCGACAAAACTATACCTGCGTCTACACTACCGTTGAGTTCTGTCAACATAACATCGACAGAACTCGGCAGTTTTGTCGACGGCGGTAAACCTCATTCTATGAGGAATAACACCTTTTGGCGACAGAGTTCTGTCAACAGAAGGTGTTATTGCATCTACACTGTCCTTTGCGTCTACACTCTCATGTCGACAAAGCGGCTTGCTTTGTCGACAGAACTGGATGTAGGCTAGACGCTCTTTGTCGACAGAAGCTTTGTCGGCAGTATCTGTCTACAAAGCCTCTGTCAACAAAAGCCTATAGTCTAGACATACCCACACAGTGCAGGTGGCCATGCCAGTAAAATACACACAGAAAAGGAAGCCATTATTAATTTCTAGCCTCTACAGTCCACAAGACGGTGTTTGCCCTGACAATCAGAGCCACTCCTATTGGCACATCTTGTGTTCACTCCCAGGGTAGACTATCAGGCTGATGTTCTCCAAGGCCTATTTTTTGCTTTCCCCACTGCTCATGAAGCTGAGGGAATTGTCTGGGAATGCTGCCCAATTGGTTGCCCACAGGGACTGTAAAGGGCATCATAAACATAGCTGTCTAAGTGCACTGGGTATCAGAGATGTGAGATTCATATCGTGATTCTCAGGGCTTTGCCTTCCTGTCACGGTGAGATTGCCTCTCTCTGCAGGTGAGTTACCTGTTTTTGCATTGAAGTTAGTGCTGAGGAAGGGTTCCAGGGTTCAAGTTAAGAACCATCCGGGCAGGAATTCACCAGCTCGGTGACTTGGCTGTTTTATATTGTCAGAAATACTAAGGATTTGTCTGGTAACACTGGCACTACAAAGGCACGAGAAATAGTTTAGAAAAATATTTTAATGTTTGGTTGGTCTCTTGCTATGTCCTCGGTGTCTCAGTAACTTCCTTTTATTCAGTGGTGTATTGTTCCCCGCTTTGTTCAATTAGGTTTTCCAATTCAGCCACTTCACTACTCTCTCAAGAAAGGCATCCAATGTCTTTGCAGTGGGTATCAGTGTTACCGAGGGAGCACACAATGAGAACGGGTCCCACACTGGTCTTCAGGGGTCACACTATATTGCCGCTGGCCTCCCAGAGAAAAACCAGGCCCATGAGATTTTGAATCCCCTTCTTTCATAGCCAGCCTTGGAACACCCCATATCCTGGGGGGTTCCTTCAGACTCTTTCAGCCCCCTTACGGAATAATGCCCTCTGTAGCAGGACCAGCTAGTTAAATACGATGGACATGTCTACACTATGGAGAAGATCAACTCTCCAGAGGTTGATTTTCTAACGTTCAATTTAATGGGGCTAGTGTGGACCCTCAAATCAAATGCTGAGGGCAGCCCCTGCTGGTGTCCTTTACTCATACCGCAAGGAGCAAGGGAAGCCGGCCGGAGCCTCCTGTAATGCAGATGCTGCGGCAGCTCAGCTAAAGTAAAGCTGAATCCAGCTACACATTTTGCACCCCTGGTTGGCATCCTTTAAACCAACCTGCCTGGTCTAGTGTAGACCTAGGCTGAGGGTGAAACCTCAGTCCCATGTCGTTCAATGGCAAAACTCCCAACACGGCCAGGAGTTCACCCTAAATCCACGTGCCGGATTTACACTAGCCACGAGCCTCCAGTGCAGTGTTTTCCAAATGATGCGCCGCAGAACCCTGGGGTTCCGCAAAGTGAAAGTAAGGGTTCCGTAAGAACTCGATCCCTCCTCCCCTCCCCCCCGTCTTAAAGGGACAGAGAGGAAAGACACCGGTTCCTTCTCTGGTTCCCTGGCTGGCTTTCAGACACCTTCCTGCCCCCCTGCTGCCACTCTGTCAATTAGTAGTGCGATCACGTGTTATATAACACCGGAAATCCCCGTACTCACTGTCAGGGAGCATGGCTCGCGTGCGTGACTTTAACAATACAAGTTAATAGTATTTACACATATAATTACATTATTGACACCAAAATTCCCCATGGATCACTGGCTAAAAGAAGGAATTTTAAAGGAAAAAGTAAGTACTTCAAACACCCGTGTTGTTACTGAAACCAGCGAGGAAGATACCAAGGCAGTTCAAGTTAATTATGAAAAATTACAGCCAAGTAATAAGAAATGAAGGTATGCCAAGGACTATTTGTCATTTGGATTCACAAGCAATGGAAATTAAGATGCCCCGTGTGTACTATGCAACAAAATATTATCTAATAGTTGTTTAGTACCTGCTAAATTGCAAAGACATTTTGAAACAAATCATTTGGAATAGAAAGATAAAGACATTCGTGGCTTTTTAAGTGGAAGCTTGAAGCACTTGAAAAAAATAAACTCTTCATGTCAATAACTGCCAAAACGGATAACGAAAATGCAATAGAGGAATCTTACAAAGTTAGCTATCGTATATTGCTCACCGGAGAAGCACACACAATTGGGGAATCACTCCTAAAACCATGTGCAAAAATTATTGTAATGTGTATGTTGGATCAGGAGTCTTGTCAAAAAGTTGAGGCTGTACCGCTATTAAACAATATTGTCACACGTCATATTCATGATCTGCTGCTGACATCAAGAAGGAGCTAATTTTTCAGCTGCATTCATGTGATGCATATTCATTACAATTAGATGAGTCCACTGACGTGGCAGATCTTGCAGTTTTGCTTGTATTTGTCTGTTATGATTTCAATAAATCTATTGAAGAAGACTTGCTTTTATGTGAATTTTTGCAAACCAATACGACTGGTCAGAGCATAGTCAATTGTACAGATAACTTTATGAAAACACATGAAATAAACTGGGAAAAATGTGTTGATGTGTGCAGTGATGGTGCCAAAGTAATGGTAGGAACAGCGGCTGGCGCTGTAACATGAATGAAAAAAATGTAGCACCAAACTACACCACGTTTTCCACAGATGCACCGGTAGTTAAGAATATTTCTCCTCTTAAAAATGTATTGGATGAAGCAGTACAGATTATTAATGATATAAAAACTTGACCATTACGGTCAAGACTGTTCAAAATTACGTGTGAAGATATGGGTAGTCAGCACACTGCCCTGCTTTTACATACTGAAGTCAGGTGGTTATCGCGAGGCAAAGTGCTGGTTAGGTTATTGAGTTCTGTCATGAGCTCGCCGCATATTTGCTGGATCACCAATTCCGACTGTCTGATCATTTAACAAACTTTTCGTGGTTATCGAGAGTTGCGTATTTTGCGGACATCTTTACAAAAATAAAATGAGGTAAATGTGTCACTGCAAGGAAAGAACGTAAATATTTTTAATGCGAAAGATACAATTTTGGCATTGTCACGTAAGCTACAGTTTTGGATCTTGTCTGTACGACAAAATAATTTGGATTGTTTCCCAACCTGAATGATTTCCTTGAAGAAAAGGTATGTGAACTTGATGAAGATATTTACAGCAACGTTACAGATCATCTTCGCAATTTATACACAAACATCATGAAGTATTTTCCAACCACAAATGGCAACAATAACTGCATTCGAAATCCATTAAGTAACAGAAAAGCCAGTCAGTTTTTCTATGCAAGATTATGAAAACCTAATCAAAATCGCTTCAGAAGGCCAATTAATACAAAAATTTAAAGAAGTGTCTCTGATTTTGGGGTGACTTATGTCAAGAATATTCAGTTTTAACAAGACGGGCAATTCATCAGTTGTTACCCTTCACCAGCACATACTTGTGCGAAACTGGGTTCTCGAATTACACAGCAAAAAAATGAAATACAGAAATGGACTGAATGCCGTGGTGCCAGATATGCAAATCCAACTTTCCAGTATTAAACCAAATATTAAAAGAATTTGCCAAGAAAAGAAGAAATACCACCGATCGCACTGAAAACTGCCAATATAATGCATACTAGTTTTTGAGCTTTATTTTTTGTACACATGAAATGTGATTTTTGTTTTTAAATATGTGCAATTAAATTAAATGCTGATCTCATTACCTTGTTTAGCATTTGTTTATTATTAACCTTACCTATTTGTGGTCTACTTTTTCAGCTCCATATATAAGATGGTTATTAGCGGTTCCTTGAAATTCTTTCGAGTTTAAAAGGGTTCCATGGCCAAATAAAATTGGGAAACACTGCTTCAGTGACTTCATCTGGAGTCAAGCGATGGGCTCTCATGGGAGAGCTTGTTTGGAGCAATTAAGAACTGACAGGAACATCACTGAAATCTCAAATTCATGGTCTCAAAGACCCGAGACTATCCGATAACTTTTTTTCCCCCCCAGGGAGGGAGAGGTTTCTGCTCTCTTTGTGCCCCTGCATCTCTGGTCCTGGAGAGGATGAGACGCACCAAAAGGCAGCAAAAATAAAAGCATATTTGAAACAAGGCAGTGTGGTAAATCTTAGCAGGGAAGGCCCAGGAATGCACCATGAGTGTGTGAGAGTAGGGGGGCGGGGGATATGGCAGGATGGGTGGAATCCAGATCACAGTGGCATGGATTCCTGGAACAGAGCAGAATAGGGAATGCCCTAATGAACAGACCAGGGGTACGTCTAGACTACAAGCCTCTTTCGAAAGAGAGCGTCTAGACTGCAACCTCTTCTTTCGAAAAAGTGAGCCGCTTTTTCGAAAGAGAGCCCCCAGGCAGTCTGGATGCTCTCTTTTGAAAAAGCCCTGTTTGCATTCAAGAATGCTTTTTTTCGAAAGAGCACTTTCGAAAAAAAGCATTCTTCCTCGTGAAATGAGGAGTCCCGCCGTCAAAAGAAAAGCCGCGTTCTTTCGATTTAATTTCGAAAGAACACGGCTGTAGTCTAGAGGCAGGTGACGTTTTTTCGAAAAAAGGCTACTTTTAAAAAAAAAACCTCTGCAGTCTAGACACAGCCTGGAAGAGGCGAAATGAGGGTTCCTGGATCTGGTGGGTCTCCCATTCTGTAATGGAACCTGACCAGACTGTACCAGATTCTGTGTCAAGCTGTCCCCCATCTAGACCTCCGCTCCTCCTGTGAGCAACCCCACTCCAGCCTTGGGGTCAGCAATTCCCCACATAGAAAAGCCACCTCAGGAAGTGATGTGTCTAGATTTCAACCAGAATGAGACACATTAAAGCATCATTTCAGGGAAGGGTTACTCATGCGGTCTCCTTTTATTCTCCACATCCTGTCTCCCTAGCGCCGGTTCTGTCCCTCTCTTATTCCCAGTACAGTTGGATCTGTTTCGGCATAGACAGGCAGTTCGGGCAGATCCTCCTTTCCCCCAGTGCAGGTAGACACTGAGTTTACCACCTAGTCTGAGGCGACATTTCTGTGAACTCTCACTGTGGGTTCTGGCACCTAGTTTTGGTCCTCGGTGAGGGGGGTATCACAGGACTGTGCAGGGAGATGGCCATGTTCAAGGGGACAACACAGGTTTGTGTGTGCAAGGAGAGGCAGGCAGGCCTTTGAGCTGTGGGAACGGGCAGGGGCTACACAGAGCAGAAAATACTGGGTGTTGTGGTGGCGCACACAGTTAGGCGAGCAACACTGGGGGCTGTTGGGCAAGCACATGAGCACATGGACAAGCGTGCAGCAGAGTTGTGTTTCGGGACAGGCAGCTGGGTGTCCAGACAGGCAGTAGTTCTGGGGCTTGTTGGTGCAAGGAAAGAGGTCTACACAGAAAAGCTGGCAGTGCTGATGGATTGTGGGCCAGGGGGTAGGATGTCAACAGTGTGCCCTTGTAGCCAAGAAGGCTAATGGCATATCAGGATGCATTAAGAGGAGCATTGCCAGCAGAGCCAGAGATGTCATTATTCCCCTTTATTCGGCTTTGGTGAGGCCACATCTGGAGTATTGTGTCCAGTTCTGGGCCCCCCACTACAAAAAGGATGCGGACGCATTGGAGAGGGTCCAGCGGAGGGCAACCAAAATGATGAGGGGGCTGGAGCATATGACCTACGAGGAGAGGCTGAGGGACTTGGGTCTGTTTAGTCTGCAGAAGCGAAGAGTGAGGGGGGACTTGATAGCAGCCTTCAACTTCCTGAAGGGAGGTTCCAAAGAGGATGGAGAGAGGCTGTTCTCAGTAGTGACAGATGGCAGAACAAGGAGCAATGGGCTCAAGTTGTGGGGGAAGACATCCAGATTGGATATTAGGAAAAACTATTTTACTAGGAGGGTAGTGAAGCATTGGAATGGGTTACCTAGGGAAGTAGTGGAGTCTCCATCCCTAGAGGTGTTTAAGTCTCGGCTTGACAAAGCCCTGGCCGGGGTGATTTAGATGGGATTGGTCCTGCCTAGAGCAGAGGGCTGGACTTGACGACCTTCTGAGGTCTCTTCCAGTTCTATGATTCTATAAGGGGATGGTTGGATGAAATAACATGATCTTGGTAACTAATTGACCATTCATTACCAGTTGGAAATAGGTCAATGGAGGGATGATAGGAGTTGCTATAGGGAACTTTCTGGGTGTCTGGCTGGTGAGTCTTGCCCCCATGCTCAGGGGTTAGCTGATCGCCATATTTGGGGTCAGGAAGGAATTTTCCTCCAGAGTAGATTGGCAGAGGCCCTGGAGGGTTTTCGCCTTCCTCTGTAGCATGGGGTACAGATCACAGCTGAAGGACTCTCTGCATGTTGTGGCCTTCAAAGTATTTGAAGGCTTCAATATCTGAGACATAGGTGAGAGGATTATTCTAAGAGGGGTGGGCGAGATTCTGTGGCCTGCACTGTGCAGGGGGTCAGACTAGATGATCATAATGGTCCCTTCTGACCTTAAAGTCTATGAGTCTATGAGTCTATGTCCACCAGAAAGCTAGCTGTGCTTGGGGGCACACAGGGGCTGTACAGGGACAGATGAGCAATTGGGGGCGCTTTGGGGGTGCAGAGTGACAGGTAAAAAGAAAGGCAGGCAGCTCTGTTGGGTGACAGGGGACGGACTATGTGAGGTTACCTGTTGTGTTCCCTCCCTTTGGGGCATCTGTATAGGCCACTGTGGGCAGACAGGATACTGGGCTGGATGGGCCTTTGGTCTGACCCAGTCTGGCCGTTCTTACGTTCTTAATGTGTGAGTGTTGGTCCAAGGCCAGTGCGGGGACCTTTCCCGGCCCTGAGTGCATTTGGGCAGATCTCAGGGTCATTTTAGCCTGGGAAGCCACGGAATAGCAGCCCCGGTGTTGTGGAGTATTATGTACATCTCATCAGGCCTTACACCAGTGCCCGTTAGTCTCACGCCTCCCTCTCACTCTTCTCCTTAAATAAGGTAACACTCCCAGATTTTCCAACCTCTCTCTCTCCAAGCATTTCCCTCAGCCCGTGAATATTTTCATAGCTCTTCCCTGAACCCCTCTAGTTCTGCAATATCCTGGGTGAGAAAAGTGCCAAGCTCTGCACAGAGGAGTCCACAGGAGGGTAAACCACTAACCCCTCTCACGACATGGCATTTTCCATATGAATTCCTTGTCCGCTCTTCATAGATACCAGTGTTTTGCGTCGTTTCTGTCTGTGCTCACAAGGTGCGCCGGGTTTTCCATGATGCCCAGGTCCCTGTCCTGAGTCCATACAGTTCAACAACAACCTTGTGAGGTATTTGAGGAGTTCAAGCTTTTCCCTCCAATGGGCATAATGCACATTGAAGTCACATGTAGGGGGGGTTGTTGGCCATGAGGCTGCCCATTATCCTGGCTTGGTTAGTTCTGTCTGAGGCCTTCTCTGGTCTTGGCCTTGACCTAAATAATCAGATGGCATCTTTAAATGTTGCCCCCTGACCTCTCTCCTCCCCTGCTAGAATGTTTACCCTACATTTAGTGATAAAGCGGGCAACCTCCTTTGCTGTTCTTCTGTTTCACAGGTGCCTTGAGCATTTCTGAGCTGGATCGACACGTCAACCACCACATGGCAGCTTTCAACCTCACCCCCTCTGAGTCTTCAACCTTCACTCTAATGGGCATCCCTGGCCTGGAAGATGCCCACACCTGGATTTCCATTCCATTGTCCATGTGCTATATTACCGGCCTCTTGGGAAATTTCCTGATTCTGTTTGTGGTCGGCAAAGAGCAGACCCTGCACAAGCCGATGTACCTGCTGCTCTGCATGCTGGCGCTCACCGACATTGGCGTGCCTACTTCCGTTGTGCCTAGGGCACTGTTTATATTTTGGTTTAATTTCAGAGCTATTACCCTGGGTGGCTGCCTCTCTCAGATATTCTTCCTTCACATGGTTTCTGTGATGCACTCAGCCGTCCTTGTGGCAATGGCCTTTGATCGCTACGTGGCCATATGTATCCCTCTGAGATACACCACCATCCTCACCAATGCACGCATCGCTATGCTAGGGCTAGTGGTTTTAATAAAAGCTGTTCTCTTCATTTTGCCCCTGCCCCTACTCCTGAGCAGGCTGCCGTTCTGTGCCAACCGCCTCATCCCCCACACATTCTGCGAGCACATAGCAGTGGCAAAGATGTCATGTGGGGACACCACCGTGAACAGGGTTTACAGCTTGGTGATGGCTTTTGTAGTCACTGGGTTAGACCTGACACTCATCGCCCTGTCCTATGGTTTGATCCTCAGGGCCGTCCTCAGAATCTCCTCCAGGAAAGCCCACCAGAAAGCCCTCAACACCTGCACAGCCCATATCTGTGTGATGCTGACGTCTTATATTCTTGGGCTTTTCTCCACTCTCACACATCGGTTCGGTCAGGGCATCGCTCCCCACGTTCACATCATCTTGGCCAACCTCTATTTCCTGGTCCCCACCATGCTCAACCCCATCATTTATGGGGTCAAAACCAAAGAACTTCGGGATAAAGTGGGCCAATACATGTGCAGAAGGTGATCACCAGAGACCACTGAGTTTAAATATGGGTGACAAGAGGGGAAAGTATGTCTCCTCGGTAATCAAGGTTACTCTGGTCTAGTTTGACTGAGCATTTTTCAAGTTCACAGTGTGAGAACTTCCTCGCACCTTACTGTCTTATCACTCCACCACCAAATACTACGCTCTCCATTGCTGTCTTCTCTTCCTCTGACCATCACCTGATCTCTTTCAGTGTCTTTAGTCAGCTACCTCCACCACCACTCTGTCAATCAAAGTTTGGGACTTCAAGACCACCAGAAGATATTACAACTTTCTGAATCAAGGTCCACTAGTCCTTGAGTGAACAAGGTTCTTTGGCTTTGGGTGTCAGAAAGTGTTGCTTTCATCAAATAGATTTCACTAGGAGGGTGGTGAAGTAATGGGATAGGTTCCCTAGGGAAGTAGTGGAGTCTCTATCCCTAGAGGTGTTTAAGTCTCAGCTTGACAAAGTCCTGGCTGGGTTGATTTAGTTGGGATTGGTCCTACCTAGGGCAGGGGGCTGGACTTGATGACCTTCTGAGGTCTCTTCCAGTTCTATGGTTCTATGATTCTATGAAATAGATCCAGAAAGAAACGACAATGCTGAACTTCTATATTAAATGTACTGTGATCTAGTGAACAGAATTTACCTGCGTTTTCTATGTCCAATCCTTCAGAAGGCCTAGAGAATTAAAAAAAAAATGTCCACTGGAAAGGGCTAATACCAAAAAGCTGCTGCAGGAATTGAAGATGTTCTACTAAATCATATCAGTGAAAGCTATGAAGCTGGGTGTTTGAGAAATGGAGTGTGTTATCCTGTATTTCAGAGGTGTGTGCCTCAAAAAACGATCAAGTCATTTGCATCCAGGCACCATGAATTGAGAAACTAGAACTTTACACAGATAAAGGTTAATTGGGAAGAACATTGTGCAAGGTCAAACTCTACCGGGTAGTTTCTGAGGATGAGAACAGGAGGGGTGTGTCTAGACTACAGGGTTTTGTCGACAAAACTATACCTGCGTCTACATACCGCCGAGTTCTCTTGACATAACGTCGACAGAACTCAGCACTTTTGTCGACGGCTGTAAACCTCATTCTACGAGGAATAACGCCTTCTGTCGACAGAGTTCTGTCAACAGAAGGCGTTATTGCATCTAAACTGTCCTTTGTGTCTACACTGCCATGTCGACAAAATGGCTTGCTTTGTCGACGGAACTGGATGTAGTCTAGATGCTCTTTGTCGACAGTATCTGTCGACAAAACTTCTGTCGATAAAAGCCTGTAGTCTAGACATACCCGAGGAGAAGACTAACAACTCTTTCTCTCTACTCATCTGAGGAAGTGGGCTTTGCCCACAGGCCATGCAATCCAGGCGCAGAAATGTGGACATTTATGGGCACATGGCTGACGGGCTGGCCAAAAAAGGCCACCAGCCCTGCACCTGGGACCACGTGCGGGAAAAGGTAAAAACTCAGGCAAGGGCCTGTGCTCACTGCTCCCCCTCAGGAGAGGCCCCACACTTCTGCCCCTCCTTTGAGGAGCTGGACCAAATCCTGGGTGGTAGAAAACCCCAGTCTCCACTGGACCTGGCGGAGTCTCGCCTGAGAAAACACGTCCAGGAGCACTCGGAGCAGCAGCCAGAGGAAGAAGCGGGAGAGCAGCAGCTGCAGGAGGAGATGAGGATGCAGAGACAGCTGTCACCATCAGCCAGGAGCAGGAGGCCTTCCGACCCCAGGGAGGGAACATCAGATGAGTGCTGTGAGGTTGACACACACACAGGACAGGGGAGGTGGGCGCACAGGCGATGGGGTGTGATCGTCACATGTCATGCTCGGCCTGGACAGCGTGCAGCTGGCTGTGCACATGCAGTGGCAGTGTGCAACACACGGATCCAGAAGCCAGTCCCGGAGCACACACGGGCTGCTGCTCACAGCCAGGGGAGGACCCCACACACGTCCGACCCCAGAGAGGGCCATCCTCCCCCTCTCTCCCCGGCACTTCCTGAAGCAGGCTGGGCACCAGGACGCACGCATGACCCCATACAGATCTACGAGTGTCACACATCGCACGCGGCCGTGCGTGCACGTGCGAGGCACCACCCGCTCCAGCAAACAGTGCTACCCCGTGCAGGCATGGGCAGGGGAGAAGGGGGCAGGGAGGATCTGGCCGCTCCAGGCCTCTCTCCAACACCTGGGAACTCACTATGGGTGGATACTTCCTTGGGTGGCTTGGCTGGGGGGGGGAGGGGCAGGATGGTCCCATTGGTACCTCGGGGGCCCCTGTGAGGCCAGGACTGCTGGCCAGCCCACACGTGGTCTTGCTGGCAGAACCTCAGCATCCCGTCCCGAGGACAGTTACGAGGGCGTGCCCTCTGGGACAATGTGCGCACGCATGATGGACCGCCTCTCCCTCTTGTCCTCCATAGCCGGACCAGCCGTGCCAGAGGGTCGAGGTACATCAGCCCCGGTCCATGGCAGCCACAGGCACTGGCATGTCTACCAGGAGCTGATGAGGACACACATCGCGGTCCTGGAGGAACTAAAGGAGACAATCGCAGAGAGGACGTGGGAAGAGGCTGTGTGGCACGACCACCTGTTGGATGAGCTCGTCCAGCAGTGGACAACCCTCTGTGCCACAATATGGGAGGTCATGGCCTTCCTGCTCCTGTGTCCGCTAGCCTCGCGCAGCGGCACGCAGAACTAAATGCGGCCCTCATGACCTGCCAGAAGTAGTTCCGGGTGCCCTTTTTGCAAGAGAGCGTCCTAGCAGTCTGGACACTCTCTTTCAAAAGAGCAGATCGCTTTTTCAATCCGCTTTTGTAGTCTGGTCGCTCTTTCGAACGAAGCTTTTTTGAAAAACTCTCTTTCGGAAAAGCTTCTTTCGAAAGAAGCTTGTAGTCTAGACGTACCCGAAGTCTCAAACTTGTGTTAAGGCTCCGAAACTGATACCTCAAGGGTGTGTCTAGACTACAGAGTTTTGTCGACAAAAGTGGACTTTTGTCGACAAAACTATACCTGCGTCCACACTACCGCTGAGTTCTGTCGACATAACGTCGACAGAACTCAGCAGTTTTGTCGACGTATGTAAACCTCATTTTACGAGGAATAACACCTTCTGTCGACAGAGTTTCTGTCGACAGAAGGTGTTATTGAATGGAAACTGTCCTTTGCGTCCAGACTACCATGTCGACAAAAGCAGCTTGCTTTGTCGACAGAACTCAATGTAGTCTGGACGCGCTTTGTCGACAGAAGTTTTGTCGACAGTATCTGTTGACAGAAGCCTGTAGTCTAGACGTACCCCAAGATTTGGGATTGGAAATATTTTTCTGTTGATTCTCAATTTAAAAATTAACTGACAATATGGCTTTGCCAGGTATTTGGTTTTTTTTTTTCTTTATATAAGAATTAATAACGCTGTTCCTGTCAGTTAATTTCTTTGTTATCTCCAAAAAATCTCCACTGGAATTTTCAGGTGCCTAAATATCCTTTGGAATGGAATCCTGGTTTAAGCTGCCCATCTTCAACCCAAATCTGAAATGACACCCTGAGGAGAAAACAACCCATTTCTACATTGATTTCTGAAGGATAGACACAGTATGGAAATGTGATGCTTCCCCAATGCAGAGAGAAGATGAACTATGAGAACAGTTTGAGCTGCCAGATATAAATTCACAGGGTGTATGTCTAGACTACAGGCTTTTGTCGACAGAGGCTTTGTCAACAGATACTGTCGACAAAGCCTCTGTCGACAAAGAGCATCTAGACTGCAGCCAGTTCTGTCGACAAAGTAAGCCGCTTTTTCGACAGTCTAGACTCTCTCTTGAAAAAAAGCACAGCGTGGATGCAACAGCGCCTTTTGTCGACAGAACTCTGTTGATAAAAGGCATTATTCCTCACAGAAAGAGGTGTACCGCCATCAACAAAACTGCTACGTTCTGTTGACTTACTGTCGACAGAACTCGGCGGCAGTGTAGACGCCGGTATAGTTTTGTCGGCAAAAGTCCACTTTTGTCAACAAAACCCTGTAGTCTAGACACACCCAGGGTGGCAAGAAATATATCTACAGGGTGGCAATGAATTTCAGAGGCTAATTGACGAGACTATTACAACTGCATGGACTGTACGCAGACATGCGATGGTACAATTAATTGAAAATGGAATTTGGTACTGTGTGTAGTGGTGGCAATCCCACACAGTGTAAATGGCAGAACATTTTGCACTAGACTGGACAATCTGCAAGACTGTTTCCTCCGACAATCTAATTCCCTGGAATCAGCAAAAAATGTTTTCATTCCCAGGAGAGGCTCTCAGGGTCTATTACTTGCTCTTCCCATTGTGCACAGAGCTGGGGGAATTGTCTGGGAGTCTTGGGCAACCAGAGATCCCACAGGGATTGCACAGGGGAAGTTATAAAGTTTGTTGTCCAGCATGTGGAGTGTCACATCTCTCAGACGCATGGAGAACTCTCAGGGCTCTGCCTTCTTGTCGCCTTAAGGAGGTTTCCTCTCTCTGATGAGCTGGATTTTGGTGAGTGGCCTGTTTCTGTGTTAAAGTGAGGGCTAAGGCCTCACAAAGGGTTCAAGTCAAGAACCATCTGATCAGGAATTCACCAGAATGACAATTTGAACTGTTTGCTGTTGTTAAAAACTGTTGGAACAGAGTCTGGGCACGGTGTATGAAGCACGCAGAAGGGTTTATTAACACACAACGCAGGAGGAGTGTCACTTCACTTATTAGGCTTGGTGAACACTGCCAGACAATAGGTTACAATGGATTATATAAGATGCTGATGGGTAGATGAAATGATGGGGGGGAAGATCCCGGACCCCCTGGATAGGTGCTAACCGTGAGGCAAAATAAAAGCAATAATCTAAAGGCTGCACAGTGTTTTGCGCCCATAGCTTACAGGATACTTTAAACAAAGCAGACATCAGTTGTCAGTTATGTATTAAGTGGCGATGTGTTTGTTAGCTTCAGGAAGGTATCTTTGCACGGATGTGA